TTAGTGGAGAGAGCTAGCAGCTCTGTGGATTTGTATGAAGGCTGTTAAAAGTAACACTGTCATCCCAACACATGTATTACAAGATCACTACAGTATATCTCTTTTTTTTTTTTTAATTAGTGTAGTTTGTGATAAACTGAAAAGAGCATAGCAGAATTACAAGCATTACCTGGCATCAACCTCTCCTCCCCACAAATTAGCCTGATTTATAAAAGAATTAACTATGACGTAGATGGAGAATGCATCAACACGCAATAAGATTTCTAATATAAGAAAATTCTTCAACTTAGCAGACAAAGGCAGAATGAAATATAATAGCTGGAAGCCACAGCAGACAAATTAAGCCTGAAAGGGAGGCATATTTTTAAGCATGAGTAGCTAAGCACTGAAAATTTAGCCTGTTTTATGGTAGGCTGCTTGCTGCCTGATGGATTCAAAAATAAACAATGACTCTCCTTAAAGAGTCAGTATAATACAGCTCATTGCACCAACTCCCGTAAAAACAAACAAAGCTTAAAAGTTTGTTCAATATAAATAAGACAAATTGATTATTTTCATTCAGCAAATTTATTTTCTCTGTAGTGCTCTTAGTTTTCCTAAAGCCTGAACCAAAGAACTGGCTCTTTTGGTTCCCCATAGGTTCCTACAGGCTAGCAGGATAAAGCGGTAACTAAAAAAAGCACATGGAATAGAGATACGGTGCAGATTTTATGCAGTAACAGATTTACCAAGAAATAAGAAGCAGACTTTTTGCAAGCATTCTCCAGATGTTTCCTAATGAAGCAGCAGGGCATTCAGTTACATAGAATAAAGCGAAAGCAAGATTATACTCCAAAAAGTTAGGTACTTCCAGGTCAAAAACCCTTAATGATGCTTGTTAACTCCACCTCAGGGTCTCCTAGCACAAAGAGCATCATGATTTCTCAGTATCAAATAGAAGGTATATCATCCTCGGGACTGAAGTACTAGAAAAAGAAAATTGGTGCTTCTAATTCTGCAATTCTATTTGTAAGGGCAGGGTAAGAGATATATTCTGGCAATGGCAGGGTTAATGGGGCAAGGCAGAATCCTAGAACAGAGCCAATAATAGTCTCAGGGACATCTGTTTTCTAAGGAGGTAGGAATTATGGCATTAAATTTGTAATAGCACATGACAACAATTAATTTCATGGTGAAACAGGATTAACAGACTTCCTCCACACTGTCTTTTCACTGTTCTGAATCTGTAACCAGTGGAAGAGTTTATTTCCTCAAACAACAGCTAAGATTCCGGGCAAGATCTGTTCAGGGGGAGTCTGCCTGGTTCTTTCATCCCATCCRATGCAGCAGAGCACTAACGGCAGGATTATTCCTCAGGCTGAGGGCCTGATAGTGCTTCACAGCAACATGGAGCACCTGTGCACAGTATGGAAAGCTGATGACGTGGCTCATTTCTGTCGGTCTAGCATACTGATGCTCCCAACTGCTCTACTCTAGGCTGTAGCAGTCCAGGAGGGTACATTTGTTGTCTGTAAGTTGTGTTCCATTTTCCGAGGCTGCCCTGGGAAGCATATAGAAAATGGAAATGCGAACTTCACTAAACACATCTGTGAGCTCAGAGTAACAGCCCAACTGGCTCATACAAAGAGGCAGGCGCTGGCACACTTCTTTACCTCCATCTGTTCGAGCACAACACTTAGGTAAATGGGAAATAGAAACTGAGAGCAACTGGTCAGAGGCTTCCTACTCAAGCCCATGCCAATAGCAGGGATTCTTTGAAAGCAAAGGGAGGGAGTTGGGGATCTGCACTCAAAGTAGTACTGTAGAATGAAACAGATAGAAGGCTACCAGAAAATTTTGCACAGATGTTGGAACTTTCATACATTCAAGGTTTTTATACTTACTCCATCCTCCTTCCCCCTTTTGTTCATCTTGTTCCGCTTATCAAGATCTCATTTATAGGTTATGGGAGGGCCTTCTCTAGTGGTCACCAAAGCCAGGGACAGTAAATAAGAACAAGGTAGACATTGCCACAATTAACTAAGAATACATTATCAAGGCTTTTATTACCATTCTAAGTATTAGTGATACTAGAATTCCAGTAACATTTATACCAAATCATCCAAAGCTCATACAAGCTTGTATTAAGTGTCTCCAGTTCTCAGTAGTTCTGCTATGCACTGACAATGCATGAAATCCCTGAAAGGYAAAGTCCAAGAAAAGGAGCGTGCTAGAGCTAGTCTTGCTTGTGAGGACACTCTGCCATTGCATCTGGCATGCTGACAGCAAGTGCAACTAAGCCTCTGACAACTGAGAGAATGCTGCCTTTGTCAGTTAGATAAGTGGCACTGTAACACTGAAAATAAATAAATAAATCAAAGTAGTTCTGTGTGCAATGAATAACAGGAAGTAACTACCACAGAGCACTGTTTAGACAAGCAACAAGCCTGTCTTTGAGAACATAATTCTTATTTGCAACTGTTCTGCACTGCATAGATCCCTCATAATCCGATATCCAGTGACAGAAAGCTGGTAATTCTACAAAATGGAGAAAACTGCCTTTAACAGCTTTTTGGTTGTTATTTCTCTACTGAGGACAATTGACTGCTCCTTCTTTCTTTTGTTCTCAGCTGGTTATCTCAAAGTTGCTGAACACAACTTATTTAAATTAAATTTTATGTACTTTATGAATAGAAAGCAAAGGTAGGAGATAAAGGCCAGCTAGTCATGGAAGAAATAAAAAAAGAAATCTAGGAAAAGACATAGAAAAAGAATTAAAACGGGTTACACATGCAAAAGATGTCAAATGCCCACTGTGCAGGACCTTATGTAAAGTGCTATAAACAGTGTCTCCAGTCCTTGAGATGCCTGGGTTGTCAAAAAAAAAAAAAAAAAAAAAAAAAAAAAGTTCACCATGGTCATGAAAGACACTACTCCAAGTACTCAGTTACTACTGAGTTTTAATACTGAGTTTTAACAGCCAGTTCAGCTTTACAGCAAAAGGTTCCAGCTCCCAGAACTTGAGCCAGCAGTGAACTGAACTTAGCTGAAATTTATGGAAACTAGAGAGATATTGGAAGATGTTGAAGCCTGGAGTTCAGACAGAGGTTTTGTACTGTGGCGATGTCATTCATGAACTAAATCTGAGGATGAGAATTGGGAGAATTAGATTTATTTTCAAGTATTATAAGAAATTCCATAATCCAGCAGTTATAGGGAGATAATAACACTCATTAATACACATTAAATACTAATTCAAATGGAAAAACACAGTATTTTGCAGAAGTTCTTATATGGCAATAGGCTGTGTTCCAATAAAGTATTTTTCCTATTTTGAGATGTACAGCTATATGAAGCCCCTGCTCTCTCATAAAGCTAAAAGATGATCTAGGATAGCACTGTAATGCTGTTGCTGCTTCTGAAGATAATGCAGAGGATCATGTATCTTTATTCAGCTTTAGCTTAGATAACCCAAATGATTACTGGTTGAATAGCCACCTTATTGCAGACAGCATCTATAGGTTCAAAAGGGATTAGACTACTTTTTCTAGAAGTGGTTGAAAACATGCCCTTTAACATTCCTAATCAAAGCACTATGCATAATGAGGGCATGTGAGGGGAAAAGCCATTCAGAAGCAGGCAAGCTCATGGGTTTTTCCTAAACAACATCTCCTGTAGTTTATGCTGAAGACAGAATATTTGGCTAGCTGGACTACACGTGATTCACTAAGGCATTTCTTATGATTTCTTATTTTTGAAAAGCCAAACAGAATTTGCACCTTACTATTCAGAATATTCAATTTTATATAAAATTACAGCCACAGAATCCATGCAAATTTGTTTCATAGGAATAACACTTCATATCTTCATGAGAGTAGATCCTATAGCATTTTCCTGAAGCCTCAGTTTCAAAAGTAGGCTTGATACTTACATGAACTATGTAGTGAAAAAGCATCATTTGCCATTTCATTCAGTAATCAACATTTCAACAGAAAAGCATGAAAGCAAGAACCTGATGCTAAACTTTTTCTTAGCTGAAAATCTCTCTCTCTCTCTCTCTCTCTCTCTCTCTCTCTCTCTATATATATATATATATATAAAGGAAAAAAGAAACATCCTAAAACACAGAGTGCAAAAAAGAAAAACATGTAGAATGGGGATGAAATGCAAGCTTTGAGACCAAGATGTGCATAGCGAACTCAGGATTATCTTTTTCCCCCCCACCTCTTATCAGGTTTGTAACTTAAACAACACAGTATGATTTGTGCCACTAGTGTAATTAACATTAGTATTTAACCATTGTAAAGTTGAATTCCCACTGTAAGTTCTAATCGGGCAATAAAAATGGACTTTTATCCTTATTTGAGTTATTTGGGACTTCAAGAGTATGCTTCCAAAGCAAACAAACAAGGGGAAAAAAAAAAAATCAAGAAAACCCAGAACACTACAGTTGCCTTCACAGACCATAACGCTGTGTCCTCTGGGGACTGGGGCAAATATACCAGTGTCCTCAACTAGCATTAGATGTGAAGCAAAGCATGTCTGAGGACCTAGAGCATCTGTAGGACAAACCACATGTGCCTTAGATGTAATGTAACATGCTTCAGAGAAGACAAGTCTGACAGCCAGCTGCCTCAAGGCAGCTACACTGTGGCACAAACAATGATGTCTTTCCTCATAAATCATTAAGTCTGCAAAGCAGGCAAACTAGTACTTCAGGTGTTTAATACTTCTTTTGCTCTGAGGCAGGAAAAGTGCTCTAGGAGATCAATAATTCATTTCAAGCACTAGCTCAGGCAAATTCAGCTTGGAAGCTGTTCTTGGTTGCTTGTTGCTTGATTTTAAATTATATAATTAAAGTTACTTTAGAAAAAAAACAAAAGATTAGTTAGGGATATGCCAATCAAGGAAGGAAAAGAGGGGAAAAAAAAATGCACCCTACCATACACAATCCTTCTATTACTGCATAAGAATATTTTCTCTAATGGCCTCTTCCACACTTGTATTAGAGCTTCTAGATCCACATTATACCTCATAAAAACACACTCTAACAGGCCTTTACTGACCTGCTTGGGTGAGGTATTTTTCCTCTTTAGTTAATTCATTTCAGATTTAGCAGGTCCTTTTCTTAAAATATAAAACAGATCAAACCTTAGCTTGGATGTTTGCCGAGCTCTTAGGTAACCAACTGCAACTAATAGGTAACTAGAAACTAATTCAACTACAGTGACAGACAAAATAGAAAAATCTTGATAGTTGCTGCAGTAGAAGTGCAATGCAGTGTTGTAGAAGTTTGTATCAGTTGGTTAGGGAGGCTGCAGTAAAATCCAAGCTTATTTTGACCTTCTGGCTATGACATTTCCAGAATGTAATGCTCTTAAGTGATCTCTCCTCATGTCAGAAAACCGGGAACCCTTGATATTACGAAAGGATGAAGGCAAAGCTGCACAAAGCCTGAAGTTAGAAGACAGTGGCTTCCCTCGGATGACCTGCGCCAGATATCTTAAGACTTCCYGTTCTAGGGAGCTGCGGGATCATACTCTTCCTTCTTTTAAATGGTCAACACAATACTCCTTCCAATGGGGACCTGAAACAGAAGTATTGAATAATCTATAGGCATGATGGTATACTGCCTGCCTGGGCAACAGGCATTCAGTCTCATTTGAGTCACCAAACACTCACAGTTTCTGTCTATGCCTTCACTACAAGAAAAATATTAGTTGATATCATCTGTCATCACATTGCAGAGGTGACTGTGTGTTAGGATCAGGGATATGACAGATGAGGGTCAACATTTCATAAGTTATTTCATATAATTTTCACCTAGGCAGGAACACAAAGCATGCACTGTCAGGGAGAGAGCTATTAGTGTATCTATTTTTCAGTGGGGGTAATCTCAGTAGTGGCTGTGACAACACAAGGGGTAAAGGGTACAAACTGAAACACAGGCAGTTCCATCTACATATGAGGAAGAACTTCTTTCCTGTGGGGGTGACAGAGCCCTGGAACAGGCTGCCCAGGGAGGCTGGGGAGTCTCCTTCTCTGGAGGTCTTCCAAACCCGCCTGGATGCGACCGCGTGCCCCGTGCTCTGGGTGTCCCTGCTGAAGCAGGAGGGTTGGACTAGATAATCTCTAGAGGTACCTTCCAATCTCAACCATTGCATTCCTTGATACTGTGAATTGTTCCAGCTTCTTCCTCTAGATTCCTCCAATTTCTGATTCCCAATCTTAGTTAGATTAGAAAATTTTCCATGAGTCACATATGCAAATCTTCCACCCCAAATTGTTGTTAGATTATTAATCTTCCTTTCATAGTTCTCTTGCAGAAACTTTTTTTTGGTGACTAGACTTTTCCCCATCATTGTCTTAAGACTATATTTCATTTCCCAGTAGTAAGAGTCAGCTCAGAACTCACCATTTTATATTTGAAGGTAGGACTTGTCTCTTTTTACATATATACATTGCCTTATATATCTTAAATTCTTTAGTCAGGAGTCATCATTACTGTACCAAATGAGTTTGCATTGTCAGCAAACTGTTACCTCACTGTTCATTCCTCTTGTGGAATTCAACTGGCCATCTCTTTCCATTGAGGGAGCAGCTACTTACATCAAAACTCCAGTTTACCCACCTTTCATTCAGTTATACATACCAAAGCCTGGCCTCTCATTCAATGGCTAATTGACTTCCTTAAAGCAGTCTTCATGAAAGACTCAGATGTCCAAAACATTTTTGACAGGTAAACTAAATGTACATGCTTGTTAACTCCTTCCGAAAGTTTCAAAACATTTGAAAAGCAGGACTTCACTTCGCAGCAACAGTGATGACTTCTCAAGTAGATTATTTCTGCAAGTGTCCACTAATTCTGATTATAATTTCTACGGATTTGCCTGGTAGAGTTGACACTTTGTTTACAGGCCTGCAATTTCCTGGATCCCTTCTTTAAAGTCTGACATCATATTTATTACCCATTGCTTTTCAAGAGCCAAGGAATTTTTAAGTGAGAAGATTCATGTTGCTATTATGAATCAAGATATTTCACCCAAATTCTAACTAAGAATCCTTGGTTGACTTGCTAGTGCTCAATCTGTTTGCACCTCTGTCATAATTGCTTCAATTTCATATAGATATTCTGCTTAGTCCTTCAATCAATATTTTAATCTCATCTGTCAATATCTATGCATTGTTTTGTAAAGAGGGAGACTTCATCTCCCTGATAAAAAGAAAGTTACAGGAAATTTCAGTCAGTTACAGATCAGAGTCCAAGTATCTTGTTGATTAGACATCATTTAGAAAGACAGCCTTCTCAACTGGAAAATATATTCATATGCATTTACAGGAGTCTGAGAAGTAGTGAGCTATAACATGCTCTTACATAAAAAGATTTTGCAGTAGTGTCATCTGTGCTTTCTATGGAATCTTTAACATATGTTATGCAAACATAGCGGTCTGGAATCCAAGGCTTCTACAAGCTAGGCATGCATGCTTTCTAAGTCTTAACAGCATTTTTATAATACTTCTACTCATCATTCTCTCTCTCAGAAAAGAGAGATAGGCCTTCAAAATGTGAATCTGAAAGTCATTTGATTAATCTTAGACACCATTCTCCATATGCTTTATGCACACCTAAGAGCACTCCAGAGGAAGAATGAGACTAATAATAAATGGCTTAAGCAAAACCATATTATGCTATCTGAATCAAAACAGATAGACATATATTCTAATAATCCTTCTAGGATATTAGACTTTTAAGTAGCATATCTTTCTATTCATAGCAGTAATAGCAGAAAAGTTAAAAATGAGTGCCAACAAAAGCAAGCAAAAACAAGCAAACAAAGCACTGACCTTTAACTTCTGAAGAAAACTGAGCCAAGTGCCGGGTTACAAAGAGTCGGAGTTGCTCATTCAGGTCACAGGACAGAAGGTTAATGTTCCAGGAACGAATTCCTGTCCAACAAGAGAGAATAGTGAGCCATTCTTACATTTACTCCAGAAGCGGCAATGGTGGAAACACCAGGAAGAGCATCTTTGATCCCTGCATATTCTAGACACCATGTTTAGGACTGAGAAATCTTAGAGCTGAAGACCATAAGATACTTACCTGTCATAAAACAGCTATCTCAGAAGAGCAATAAACAAATCTTCATTCAAGTAAAGCTTCATCTAAGTGATACTAACAAACTACATGCAATGATGGCTAAATAAATTACACAATTACCTAAGTAAGCAAACATATTATGGCAGTTTTACAACTTCTGCAGTATCCAACAGTGGCCATGGGCAGAGATGGGCTACTGGATGGTGGGACTACTAATCAGCTCAGACCACTAGCTCCTATGCTCTTATAGCCCGTGCCTTCTCAAATCCATGAAAGTCTACTCCACCCCTAACTCGCTCTACCTAATCACTCCTTCAAATGCCCCGATCATCTCCCTGAGACCCCTGGAGTTTGCTCTTTAATCTACCTAATCTTTGTAAGCTAATCACCTTCGTATCACAGCAGGAAACAGGGTCTGCTCCCAGAGCAAGTGGCACCATGCCATGCAAGTCACCTTCAGACCTCAGGCTGAGCAGTTTTATCTTCTGCATGACACAAAGCACTACATATCACTGATCCTCATATGCCCACAAGGATCCACCTTGGTACTACCAAGGAAGACAATATCAGCATGAATGACTACTCTGGTCTCCTATGCTGCTACCTGCAGCAGTACGACTGTTGAAGGCTCATGCCACAGAGTTCTTAGAACAACAAAAACAAGAATTTAAACTTCCAGGTTTGTCAACATCCTCCTCCTCAAGAGTTCTCCTGCCATCTTCTGGAGACATTTTCTCTCTTACATAAAATATCAGATATATAACCAAGAAAACTCTGTATTTGCCTTCTTTCCAAGTATGCTGTCTTTTCATGGTGCTACCATTCCCAGTTACCACATTTCTAATTTTCCAACTCAATATAGTGCAATAGTTACTGCTGCCAAGCAATGGGAAAGAGTATCTTCTAGGACAAACGTTTCAGTTCCCTACACATAATGGAGGAGCTGGTAACCAACTCATCACGCAGTTCAGTGGTCTGAAGGCCTACAGAATAAAGAGCAGCTCAAGATAACTACTCTTAGTTTGCCTCTAGTTTGTGAGGGCACCTCACAAAAGATATTACAGAATAATATAGCTTATCTATTATACAAGAGTTTGCACTGCAGAATGTATAAAAAGAGCAAACATTGAATATCAGAAAAATTTACCACCAACTTCAACATCACAAGCTATCTATTCCTTTCAGTTTGGATATGAGATAGGAACAAATAAATCAGTGATAATGGAGAGAAGAAAAAGATATCAAAAATGAATTTTCTATGAAATACTTAGGGAAAACACAATGTCTTGTACAAAAGTGATCGATGCAAGTGCTTCTTATTGCAGTGCTGATTAGCATTCAAGCCTGGAAGGGAACATAGTGACACCCTGCAGGGTACATCCTGCTGATGCAAGCTGCTGTGTCAGTCATGATGTTCTACTGCAGCAATAGACACTATGAGGCACTGCTACATCCTCTAGGATGTAGAAAGGAGAGATCCTCTTTCAGAGATAGGAAAAGGAGGAACAAATTTCTTTTCTCTCTCTCCTTATCCTACTTAAAACAATTTATTCAGCTCCCTCTTCTGACCAAGCAATCTGAAGTTATTCCTAATCAACCCTGTTACCACGATTTACTTGCTGATCTCACAGTACAAGAACCAGAACATTGTCTTTGCAAGTTGTGACCCTCTACACCTCCTCATACAAAAGCACAGACTACATCACACCAAGGTTTCTAAAGGTGCAAATGCACAGCTTGTTGTCAGGTACCATGTGACTTACCAGTTTCAGATCTTTTTTCTTATGCCCTTGTAAGCTTTATTTCCTGATGAGATAATAGGTTTATAAGATTTGACATTTCCTTTAATACCTCATATGCTTTTCCATTATTGTTTTAAAACTGCAAAAAGCCACACTGGTACAGAAAGATTAATATTTGTTAAAAGGCATTTCAGAACAAGTTTTGTTCAAGTCTCCCACAAATAAGTGATGCTACCACGTAAGCAGCAGAGAACATGGGAACAGACAACTTCCTGTGAAATACTGTACTCATTGTTCCATTCTTCTGAACCAAGCACTATAGGAAGAACCTTGGAAAAGCATGTTTTCTGCAATAGTCAGGGCATGAGATTGAGTTACGTGCGTCTTTGTGCTTTGAGCAGAGGGGACCTTACAGCCAGTAGAAAAGTGATACAAAACTAACAAAACTAAGTTAGTGTGGGTGGGTTTTTTTGTTTTGTTTTTTGATTTTTTTTTGTCCTCCGGAAAGGATACTAACTAGTTCAGTTGTATAACGTGGAGCATTTTGCACTAACTTTTTTTGCAAAGTTTTTCTGATTTTAATCACAGTTGTAATCCCCTTACTGCTCTAATAAAGTCAGAGAAAAAATGCTTTTTTGAGGGACAGAAAGATTTAGCTGTTCATACTTCTTTGTCTCTCAGGGAAATCATTCCTCTGCTCCGCAGACTCCTCTGGAGTTACACAAGCCTCATGCGAATCCTCTCCAGCAAGCTATCCCTCAATAGCTAGAAGATGTCATGTTTGTACTGTTTTACATTTTTACAGTTGATGTRGAATGGCAATCTACACTCCTGGTAGTCAAATAACTGGATTTGCTTTTGTTTCTGCACCTGCACGACCAGTTTTCAAAGACAGTTGTGCAGATAGCAACAGCAGCTCTTTGAAGAAGAGCTTCCAGTGGCCTAGTGGTCTGAGTACAAGCTACTCCTCCGGCAAATGGGATAAAACACTGCTAGGCAATGTGCCGAGCTGCTAAGTGGCCCACCAGCAGAGACGACTGGGGAAGATGCTGGAGTGAAAAAAAAACAGGGAAGATTCAATATTTTTACATCCCCTTCTTGAACTCACACCATTCATGTGTTCCTTGACACTGTTTAGGTTTGAGAGGAAGACAGTCAGAAATCAAAATGTTATTTGGGCAATGCTCACAACTGTTAACATTGTCACCTCTTAAACCAGTATATCTTGAAAACTGAAAAATTAAGAGCACACACATTTGCAGGACTTATTTTATACCCTGGAGGTGTAGTAAATTGCTTACCAGGACAAAAACATCCTTAAGGTCCTGGTGCAGCTGATGCATTTCACTTTATCATTTTCGTTAGGAAACATCAGAAATTGCCAGAAAGAAAGCACTGCTATTTTTTCCTTCTCCAGCCCTTGAAGGCCACACACAGAGAAGCTCCCTGTGGAGCCTCCAGGTGCCCCTGCAGCAGCCGGGGCCGCAGGGCCCGCTCGCTGGGTCGTGGCTGCAGCCCACGGCCTCCCCACTCCTCGGCTGGGCACTGACACTGTGCTGCTGCCGTGTGGCCAGAACTGCATGACAGCAGGATGGAAATTCAGGGTTTGAATCACAATATGTTTCCATGTCTTTGACATACAACAGCCTTGTTAGTGGCATCCCACCGGAGGCAAGCAAGGAATAAGGGCCGGGAAAGACACAGTGATGTAGGGCCCGCAGGAGGGGCCCCGCTCCCCCCATCACTGCCAATGATTCCAGTGATGACTCATTGCACTGGGCTCTCCCTCCCCTCCATGGGGCCTCGGTCACCGTGTCACTGCTGCAGACAGAGCCACGGGTCCGCACAGGCCTCCTGTCGGCAGGGGGACAGCCCCGCTCGGCCTGGAGCCCAGAGCGGCACCCGCGGCACCGGCACGGCTGTGGCGGCGGGAGGAAACACCGCCGCCCCGCGCCCGCCGCCCCGCGCCGCCCCTCACCGCGCTCCAGGGCGCTGCGCAGCGCCCCGCGCTCCGGCTCCGTCCCGATCTCCCCGATGACGGCGAGCAGCGCGTGTCTCCGCCGCTCCGGGCCGCGCGGCGCGCCCGCCTGCCAGGGCGCTGCCATCTCCGTGGCGACCGTCCCGGCCGCCATCTCCATGGCAACCCCGGCCGCCGCAGCGCGTGGCGACTGGCGCGTGGCTCTTAAAGAGCCCGGGCAGCCGCCCCGATTGGCTGCGGCGGCGCACGTGGCCCTGCGCTACTGCGGCGGAGCACGGCTCCGCCCCCGCGCGGCKCGGCGCGAGCGGCCGCTGGGGGGCAGCCCCCCCCTCCCGCCGCCGAGGGGCCGGCGCGGAACCCGGCGGACCCTCCGGACAGTGAGGCCTCCTTCCCGACGGTGGCTGCCCGCGCCCGGCACGGCCCGGCGGGACGCGACACCCAGCGCTACGCGGCTTTAAAGAATGGCGTGGAGGAGAGGTTGCTCGCATCCTGGGTCTGAACCACCAGATCGTCTTGGATTTTTCTTTCTGCCACCAAAACTGCTAGAGAATTGCCCAAATCTAGAAATCACAGAGATTTCTTAAATGCCAGGTAATAGGTTATTGCAATATCCACCTTAAAATCACCACAGTGGCAGTGCTGTGCTTTTGATCCTCTCTTTTTCTTGGTAATTAGCAGAAGAACAAGGTGTCTGTCCCTTCCTGGCTGATCTGTCCCCGTTGTGCCAAAAGTAAGTGTAATGGTCTCCGCAGGTCAGTGCTGGTACATTCCAGCTTCCAGAAATACGAGATCCAGGGAAAATCTCTGGGCTTGGCGCGTGTGCAGTATAAAGTCTCTGTGGGCTGTCTGCTGCTGTAAACACAAGCTTTTAAGGTGCAGGTTGGAGAGAGAAGCTAGAGGTGGGAAAGGCAGCGGAGCCTTCATCCACAGCCGAGCCTGCACCGCGGCCTGCGCCCTGGCACGGCCTTGACATGCTCTGCCACTGCACGACCTGGCTCCAGGTAGCGCCGTGGGGAGGGAGAGCCACATGGCCAGCTTCAGAGACAGAAACCAGCTCTCTTCTGAAAAAGAAAGAGAAATCTGCTTGTGTTGCTGCAGCTGAGAGGAAAGGCAACACAGCTACTCTAAAATAAGATATAAACCCTAATGATCTGCCGTGTTTTCTAAAAACGTGTCAGGTTCTTTCCCCTGCTGTGTGTAAGGTTGCCACAGTGATGAGCTGCATACAGCTCAGGAGAGCAGATGGGCAGGAACCCTGAGATCGGAGACACCCGGGGCTTCGCAGGAAGAGGTGGGGGCGCCTGTCCTGTCCTGTTTGTTGCTTTGCTGCGTTATGACCTGCCAAGCCCGCAGCAAGGAAATGGATGAAACTGCAGGAGGGAGGTTCAGTCGGTCAGCATTTTGGCAAGTGTATGTGAATCTGAAAATCCGTAGTGTCATGAGACTGTGACAGCAAGATAACCATGGAGAAAAACAGCCGTAGAAAGTGGGAGAAATCTAGAATAATTTTCTCTGCAGGCTGCTACTGATGTTGCTGCCTTACAGAGCTTTCTCAGATTAAGAGCCATAATCAGAAGGTGCCCTAGCTCTAAACAGGCAGATAAGGGTGTGATGCCAGAGGTTTTCCTCCCTTGAAATTATAGTGACACCAATGGGTATGATCTTTATGAAATAAATCTTGTAAACACAAGGAATTAGGGCTGAAAAGAATTTTAATTTATTTTTCTGTGTTTAAACTTGCATTTATTTGTCTCCAGGGACTGCACTGAAACTGATGAATATGTGAATAAAGATAAATACCAGTTTATAATGAATTTTAGCTTGAAATTGCAGATCGTGGATAGGAAACATGAAGATAAAAGGTTTTGTTTTATTTTTCTTTCATTTTTTTTTCTTTTTTTTTTGTCTTCCACAGCAGCTGGTAGAAATACCTTCTGTTTTCGGATGATTCAGTCTTAATACTTGCTGCTTATTTTTGACATTGTAGCTTTCCAGAGCTGCAGCCTCTCACTGCAGTGCAGAGAGGCTTCTCCAGCTGGCTTCCTGCCAAAGAAGAAACAGGCTACATCCAAACCAGCCTGGAAGCTCTAAGAGAATATCTGAGCCTGGTTCTGTTCTGCAGGGGCGTCTAGGAAGACTGTTTACAATCAAAAATGCCATGCTTTGACATGATCCATTTGCATTCCTCCACCATACCACCAAATGCTAGAATAATTAAATTTATCTTGTGTTCTCACGTGATTGGGTCTGTCCGTGGTCACAGGAGAGAGGGGATAGCTGGGCAACTATATGGTTGTTATACTTCATGAATTCTTAAATTTGTGCTTGCAACAGTAGCCAGTACTTCCAGGAAGTATCATGAGCTGCCTGGGCCATACATAGGTATTCCTGATCCCGGTAAATGTTATGGGAAGAGAGATGGTAAAAGCGGGAAGAGAAGGAGTTCTCTCAACAGCACGAGGATACAAATCAGCAATGAACATCCATCATGAGAATGGATTAAAACAAGTGAATAAAATAATAAGGCCTTTAGCCAAAATAAAAGTTCATTTTGGCTGTGACACTTGCTAGGGATATGGGAAAAATAAGTGACTTCCAAAACACGCTTCTCACAAATGGTCTTGATATAATGTTGTGGTGAGATCACATCCATCCTTATCTATGGTATCAACTTTGAGAATGCTTCCATGTAGCGATACCTGGAGTTGTGCTGCAATTTTTACTGGAAGAGAAACAGAAGTCAAAGGCCTTCAGTTTGATCAAATCACTTTTTTCTTTTTTTTTTTAATTGCTCTGTTACGAGTGAATGATCTATCACAGCCACACTCCTTCCGCTCTCTTATGGTGGCCTTTGCAAGATACTGTCTTCTTCACATGTCTCCAATAAAATTTGTGACAAATTGGCAGTTCTTGTAGAACTGCAGAATTGCAGTTCTGATCAAGAATAGTATCTAAGTGCCTGTGAAATTATCATGAATAGTCATTGTGTGTAATAATTTCAGACAAAATATAAACACAAATATTAGCAAAAGTGGAATATTTTGAAGAATTCTGTAATTAGAACTCTGAGGCCAGTAGCCTCACAGAACAGTTCAAAGAAGCTACAAAATTACATTTTCCACCATAACTGTGTGCATGTCTATTATGACCTTCTTTGTTTAGTAAACTCATGAAGCAATTTTAAGACTTCTCCAAAAGAAAGCACAGGCACACTATGTGATCAAGGCTTATAGTTAAATTGCAGCATTACATAGTGCATTTAGTGTTATTGAATATGTTAAGAGTATTCAAACAAAGTCATATATAATCCAGTAAGAGAAAAATATGCCCAGGAAGAAAGTTTATTTGCTGTTGCAAATACAAGTCTTGCAGAATTAAATATCGTCCTTTTTTTTTGTTACGTTCACTTGCTATTGTGCATATGTTGACTGCTTATTTGAGGTCATTCCATCATAAATCGAGATTATAGATGTATTACAATAGTAGACAGGTACTTTCAAACAGCTTTRTATGAAGGTCAGCAGAAATTAAAAAATTCCATTGTCTCCTATGCTTGATGCTAGTATGTTTTTCTGTGTTCTGAAACTTCTGGCACACACAATCTTTCAAAAATGATTAAGCGAACAAGTAATTTTTAGTGCAAACATAACATTCAATTATAAGATTTCTAAAAATCCTTGTTAATGCAAAATCAACTTTAAAATGACTATTGAGTTAGAGATGTGTTTGTCCTGCAGGAGCTGGCATTTCTGTTGCCTAAAGAAGCTTCTTTTCTGCTGCTTAAGGAGTCTGTGATATCACAAATAGCATCAAGAGAAGCAGATACCTCCACATCTCAAAAGGTAAAACAAGCACATTTCCCATTTTAATGTATTTATCTTATAGCACAATGTACAGTAAGGGCTCTATATCCTGTACTTGTTTGTGCACGTGTACTGTTTATTCTAAAATATCTTGGTTTCCCTTCAAACTGTGACAGAAACATAGTGTCAGAGAAACATAGCTTACATAGAAACATAGAAACATAGCTTATTCATTATTTTGGGGTCAGCTTCATGGAACTCTAGAAGTTGTTTCCCAACATCCACAACTTCTCTTGCACATCAGAAAAAAGAAGAAAGAAAAGCACATCAGTATCACCTGGGCACCCTCCAGGGGCCACTGTGCAATTTCTTACACATTGCTGTGTCCTTAAAAAAGTCTAGTGATGTTGTAAATACTTGGTATCTGGAGAGGCCAAAGGCTGATGCATGCTTCTGCTGCAGGGAAGAGCGTTGCTGCCAAAATCCTGAAGAAAGCCAGTCCATTTTAACAAGAGTTAGCAGGCTGCTGTGATTTGAGGATCCCCAAAACTTTGTGATTTCTGACTTTTTTTTTTTTTTTTTTTTTTTTTTTGATGAGTGCAAGTGATTTGCTTTAGCTGGATTTTTACTTCAGATTGTACACCATTATCTTTTATGTAAGAGGAGAAAGTGTTCCTAGTGATACTGGTAAAAGTATTGACATTACAGAGGAAAAGGAGAATGTTGTGCAGCAAGAACTGAATGACCTTGAGAACAAGAAAAAAAAAAACAGGGTGAAATTTAATATTACCAAGAGCAAGACTGTGTATTCGGTGACTAAGAACGGGGATTTCTCTCACCAGATGGGGCTAACCATGCAGAAGCGACCAGGAGACAGCAGCCCTTGGCACCTCCGATGACCAGGAGGCAGCCGATGGCGTGACAAGAACAGGAGGGCAGGAGCTGGCCCGCGTCTCGGCGGAGTGCGGGACGGCGCGCGCAGAGCCTGGGGGCGGGCGGTGCGCTCGGCGTCCTGCTGCGCGCTGGCAGAGGCGCCGCGGGTGCGGACGTGGCCTCCGCCCGGCCTCTCGGCACGGCGCTGCCCCTGCCGCGCGCGCCGGCTTCCCGGAGGCCCGGCCGCGCCCTCAGCTCCCTCCCGCTCCGGGCGGAGCAGCCTCGCAGCAGCCGCCCCGCGGCGGGCGGGGCCGGGCCGGGCCGGGCCGCTGATGTCAGGGGCGGCGCCAGGGAGCGTAGCCTCCGAGCCGAGCCCGGCGCTGGCTCTGCTCGCGGC